GATCTGTAAAACGAAACTCAAGTTACACTGTATGAGAATTTTTAGTGATTATCACGACCTACATATACATGTAATGGACGACAACCTAGCTTAAATGTAAACTGCTAAATATGAAAACTTAGCATTATACTTGTACAGTATGTCTCAGCTATTTCATAGATAAGATCATAATTCAGTTGTTTGTCTTTCAAAAATTTAAATTACGATTTAGGAATTGCAATTACAATTGGAAGTTCTAAATTATTTCAAAACGCACGAATAATGTAAACAAATGACTTTGAAAGCTTTTTTTTATTAAGATACTCATATCAATTAAACTCCATCCGATACATCGAAAATAAATTTAACACCTTTTCTTCTTTTTTCTTTCGAGATATACTTAGCTTGTAAGTTAAGAAAAATAAAAGTAATAATTCTACGTCGAATGTACGGTGAAATTCTTGAAAATTTATATCAACGTTCTCCATATTGTCACTTACATGTACATGTGTCGATCGCCATAAAAACAGTAATGATAGATTTCACTACTGTATTTGGAATATACAAGGGGCGGGGCTTACTGGCGGCAAGATTTAAGCGGCGCGGTCCGCTTCACGCATGAGTGCGTAAAGCGAACCCGGAAAGCAAACGCCGGGTTCGCTCTAGCGGACCCAGAGCTGACCCCGAGCGAACGCAGAGCGAACCCGAAGCGCACCCAGACCGGTCCCAAATTTTCTGAAAGCGGACCCCGAGCGAACCCAGGAAGCGAACCCGGGGTGCGCTTTGGGTTCGCTCTGGTGTTAGGTTGTGTCCGGTCGGTACTGTATGACATGGGTACATGTATATTGTCCCCCGCTTTTACTGAAAGTGGGGGATATTAATTTGGGTCTGTCTGTCTGTCCGTCCGTCCGTCTGTATTTCTGTCTGTCTGTAACACTTTCGTTTCCGCGCGATATCTCAAGAACCCTTTGAGCTTTTGCAATGAAATTTTACATAGCAACTCTCTGTGGCCTAAGAAAGACCCCTATTGGTCAAAAAGTCAAAGTTCAAGGTCATAAATTCATACATTCCGTCTGTGTGTAACACTTTCGTTTCCGGGCGATATCTCAAGAAGCCTTTGAGCTTTTGCAATGAAATTTTATGTCATAACTCCCTAGGGCCTCTGTCGTCCCTCTCAAAGTATCCCGCCCCGTTTTTTTTTTTATTATAATTATTTATTGTATTAGAAGTCGCTTGGCACTATTTTTAGCACATGGGGCATGTGAAGAGTCATTACGTATACTACAGGTTGTCGGCGGACTTCATATTCTTATTACATGTATTAGAACTGTTTAGTAAAGGCTAATTTAGACAACATGTATTGTGTAAAATTTTGACAATATCGAACGTGAATACAGTAAAACTTGTCTAATCCGGCGACCAGTGGTTCCAAAATTTTTGGCCGGATTAGACAACATCCGGATTGGAGAAAATTGAACCGTTATAGCAAGTTAAAAATTACATAGATATAAACAAAGAGTGGTAAATAAATACTTAATCAAATGTGTCATTTTTTACGTTTCACTTGAAAAAAATCGTCAATTTCCGTTTGTTTTGAACTCTCTTTGTTCTTCAGAACTTTCATTTCTGTTTAAGTTTTTTTATTCAGTATCGAAATATAATATCTCTTGGTCATTTATCAAATTTGAAAATCGTTAAATGTTTTAAACACACCCCAAAACCTCATCGTAGCTGTAAATATTATTAAGTTAGGAAAAGATTCCTAATTAATTTCTTTCTTTTAAGATTAATATGTTTGAATATTTAGACACTGTATTTGTTAATTTTAAATGTTATACATGGAATGAATATTGAACCAAAATCTTATGTCGTTATGGTCGTTTGAACTAGCGACACAAAGGGAAGTAATTCGAATTGCACGTCGTGCAGGCAAAACTATTTTAGAGTTGAAAAAAAAAAATAAGAAAAAACTTTTTTCTTTTTAATTTATAGAGCATTTTGACCGATATCCTCGATTTTTTTTTTTCAGATTGACTATCTGTTTATTCATTTAACAACTTATCAAATTGAATCAGCTTGTGAAAATATTCAAAACAGATTTAGAGATTTTACAGAAAGAAAAAAAAAAAAAGACAATTCTATTCCTGTTAATTAAATTCTGATACGAATATTATTTTTCATCATTTGAATAATTTTCTTTTTCTAGATCAATTTTCATGAAACAAATTAGAAATTCGAAAATCATTTTGAATTTTATGAGTCCACAGTTGAATTGTAATCTTTAATGTTTATAAAATTATATTTACATGTAGACATAAATGTTATAGTTAATAATTACAATTTAACATTTTAGTAAACAATTTAAAGACGATTGAACATCTAACCATTACCAGTTCTATTTATCTTAATTTTATGTTCAATTAGAAACACATTTAAAAATGTGAATTATTTTATTTCAAAAAATTTAAGGATTAACTACTGATAAACTAATGAAAAGCCGATGAAAAGGTAGTTGAATTACGACTGAAAGGTCACTGAAAGACGACGGAAAGGTCACTGAAAGGCAATGGAAAGGTCACTGAAAGATGACTGAAATGTGTTCGCTGAATGGTGACTGAAAGGTACCTGAATTGTGGCTGAAAGGTAACTGAAAGGTCACTGAAATGTACCTGCCATTCAGTGACTAAATGGCCACTGAAAAGTCACTGAAAGCCGCCTTTCAGTTTTAACTGAAAGGTCTTGTTTCTTCCTGTGTACATTTTATTTTAGGCTGTCCAAATCTGTACAAAAGCATTAAACATCAAATGAACTAATTGTTTACCGTTTACGAGTGAACATATATGTCGAGCTCACATACAAGCCCAAAACTATAACTGTAAATATTCTCCTAGGGTCCAGGAAGAATTAAACATTCCAGAATTAGAATGAATCACGTTTATGATATCAGTCTCTTCCGGCAGCAAAAGTTTGATAAATGACAAGACAATTTTATTATTACTATAGAAGACAATTTGTCCTTCAAGTCATTCTCTGTGAGCACTTATTGCAGTTGTGCATATACATTACGTTTCAAACCCAGGCACTGCTTTTAAGTTAAATGTTTTCTGCATGTTAGTAAAAGAACTAGTCAGTATATTATGGAGGAAAATATAAAAAGAATATGTCTTTCTGTCTGGCCGTCTATATGCACCAAGCGGTAAAAAAACCCCATATATTTAGACATAACAAGTTAAGAGCTATTTTTTGTAACCACTTAAACTTCTTTGCCGCGCATGCTCACCGATTTTGATGAATCTTTATGCATTATTACAACTGGACAACAGAAACATATATCAAATACAGCATGGTTGCTATGTGTCTTTGTTGCCATGGTGACAGCTGGAAAAGTTTGCAAATTTGAGATTCTAAGCTAATTTGAATCTTTATTGAGCCTTAATAAAGATAACAAAAACAAACTAACCATTCTCACAAAAACATGACACCTTGTTGCCACTTATATTATAAAGAAACTATTTAGAATATATCTCCAAGTATTGTAAGTCGATTTAATTCCAACCAATCGCGATGGTTTTAATTTCACGCTGCGATAAATTAATTCAAATATCGTATAAGCATTGAAAAGTTTTTAAAAACTAATGATAGCATTCACGATGGATTTAATTTCGCAGAAAAACTGTGAATCGCAAACATAGTGAATTTAAATCCATAGTGATTATCTGCCAATCTACAGTAAGTGGTAACCATGGGTACATTTGGACATCAAATGCTGAAAACCGCAATATTCACTAATTATAGGTCTTACATGATCAAACTCAATCAACAACTAAAGAAAAACAATAAAAATATCTGAACTTAATAAATTAGGTATTGGCAATATTATTCTAAAAATAACTTCCATGGTTGACATGGTAACACAATGTAGCCATACAAAATTTGTTGATAAATTTTGCTTAATGCTATTATCTTGTGGAAAAACATGGAAATTCAATACTGGCAAATATACGTCGTTAGGACCTTGTAACACAGATATAATAAGAATAATTGGGATTAATTCCTACTTTGCAGTGTAACCATGGAAACAACGTACCATATTGATATTTTTTTGCTGATTTAAAGAATTTAGTTGCCTTTTAATCAAGACATATATTATTTGACTCACCTTGATTAATACTTATCTGATAGAACTAAATTTGAAAACCATATATTGATAAAGTTTGCATCCAGTTAAAGACTGTGTTGTAGTCATAAATTGAAAATCAGGTTAGTTATTCATACATATCAATAATAAAAGTTTTAGGAATCTCCATAAAAGGGTACATATCCAAGAAAACAAAATATTTTTCAGCTTTTTATGCATTGTTTTTGCTTATTTCTATTGAAACTGTATTCAGAGAATGTAATTTGAATTATTTGAAATTTGAAATGACCACACCAATGCCATAAAAGTTGATCACCAATTCTATAGAAATGAGCTTTTCAAAAAGACTACTGCAAACATTAACTTCGGGACTCTTTAGATGTTTAAAAATACCATTTTTCAAACTGTATGGTAACCATGCCACATAGCAACCATTTTTTGTCCGATTTTAATTAAGGGTATTAAGGACTTTCATCATAGAGAGTTTGGAAAAATTCTGAGACAATGCGGGCCAAACCTCTTATATAAAAATTTAAGTCATTTAAGAGAATGGCTCTTAAAATGTAGATATCTCTGTTAACAAACGTTTGTGTGTTTGGATTTTTTTTCTACACTAAATATAAACATAAGGAAGGTTCTAATCACAAGACAATGTGGTTCTTTTATTGTACGATACACATTTTATTATGCTCTTTTGTTTCTTTTCGACAAAAGCTATAAACTATCCAAGCACTTAAGAAGACACGTTTTGGTTCATAAATGTAGATAAAGATAAATTAAAATATGCCTGTAATATTTGAGACAGATTATATTCTTCAAAAGAAGCAGTGATTAGACACAAAAGGCAGCACAAGTTGCCTCCAGCAAGTAGGATGTTTCTGAAATGTCTGATTTAGTTGGTGAGTTCAACCCATGTCGTTTCGATATAACAAAGTGAACTCGAAATTAAAAAAAAAAAAAAAAAAAACTCTGCAGAGTCTGCCACATCTGTTCAATATTGGGATGTTCTATGACTATAAAACATTTTTTTTTTTTTATCTTCGCAGATAGGTTAAGGACGCCCATGAAATATACGCCTTAAAATACGCAGAGAAAATAAATACAATTTTAACATATTAGCTCACCTGAGCTGAAAGCTCAAGTGAGCTTTTCTGATCACACATTGTCCGTCGTAATTCCGTCCTTTCGTCTGTCCGTCCGTCCGTCTACATTTGTAGCTGTCCGTACATCTGTAAACTTTTTACATTTTCAACTTCTCAAGAAACACTGGGCCAATTTTAACCAAACTTAGTACAAAGCATCCTTTGGTCAAGGGGATTTTAAATTGTTAAAATAAAGGACCAGGCCCCCTTAGAAGGGGGAGATAATCAAGAAAAGACAAAAATAGAGTGGGGTCATTAAAAAATCTTCTGATGAAAAACCACTGGGCCAGGAAAACTGAAATTTACGTGGAAGCATCCTGGGGTAGTGTAGATTCTAAATTTTCAAATCATGACCCCTGGGTGTAGGGTACGTCGGGCCACAATAGGGAATCCAAGTTTTACATTGAAATATATAGGAAAAATCTTTAAAAATCTTTTTCTCAAGAACCACTGTATATATCGGGTCTCTGCTGAGTTCGGCCAAAGCGACATCGCTTACATCAGGTGCTTGTCACGTGACAGGTTTGAAATTGGAACATATATGCACGACTACAAATATCGTAAAAGTTCAGCGATATACGGGTATCTTTTCGCTATATAATTTACTCTGTTTTGTTTGAGACAAATTTCTTAACATGAAAAGTGCTGAGAGCAACGTCCTTGTGCTCGGGAAATGTGTAAATTGAGTAAAATTTAGCGGTTTTTAGTTAAGTCATCACGTTTATCATAAAACTTTCTTGTTAGGTAACCATTATCGTCCTTTTCTAGTAAAATATCTAAATATGAAACCGATGTTTCAGAATCTTTTATTTCTTTTATTTTAAGCTCATTGGGAAATATCGAGTCGACATATGAATGAAAATAGCTATTGCTAATCAATAATACGTCGTCGATATAACGAAATGTCGAGTTGAAGACCACAGCAAGTGTTTTCTCATGAAGATGTTTTGAATAAGTTCTGCTTCATATGAATACAAAAATAGGTCTGCTAATATGCATATTCCTGAAAAACTTTCGATAAATTTGCAAATATTTTAGCACGCAAATGAAATTGAATAATTCTCACTCAGAATAATAATTTGTATTGAGTAGTTGCCATAAACATTCCTAGGCTGTAAAAGTTTTCGCTTTCGTTTGCATCTACTTAATTTCAAGGAAAACAAGTTGTTAAACAGACTAAGAGCATTCTTGTCATGCTATCTGAAATACAAGTATCTGTATAAAATGAATGTCCTTTTAATTTATCTCAATATAAGAAAATGTCTGAAAGGGTATGAGAAAATGTCTATTCTGAAAGGGGTTGCACGAAATACAGCTAAATAAACCATATTGTCTTTTGAACCAATTTTTAAACAAAGGCAAACTACTGCCAATAAGTTTATGTAACAAGGATTTAAACAACCTATGTAAAGGAAGAGTTTTTGCAAATTCTAAGTTTGTTATGACTTTGTTTGTAAATACACCCAGCGTCACCTAGGGTCGTAATTTGCCTGTCATGTTTAAACAATTTATAATGTCATTGTTTTGATACTAAATTCGTCTAAGGAGAGTACTTTCTATACCAGACAATATATAGGGCTCACGACGGGTGCGCACTGTCAACGGAGGACACTTACTCCTCCTTAGCAACTTAACCCAACTCAAGAGGTCCTTGTTTATGCGCTGTTCACGATTCATTTTTATTTCTTGGTTTATGGGATTTATCACTGTTCGTTATTTTCACATTTTACTCTGTAAAAGAAGGAAATGATAAAAGGAGAATAAGACAAAAATAAAAAAAAATGTTGTAATAAAAATAGTCCAGACCTATCTGTTGTAGGTAAATCCATTTATCATATCGTTTCAATTCTTATTTTGGATCTCTGGAAATGTTTTAAATGTTTTAAATCAGCTTGTAGTAGACCAGAAAAAAAAAAACAAAAAACAAAGGTGCAACCAATTCTTGTTTTCTTTTCTGACATTTTTTTTATTTAGATCAGTTCAATCGGTGTAACTAACCTGGTAATGTTATCAGTATGTATCTATTTTTGCTGCATATCACGTAAGTCATAACCATTATAAAAAACTATCTGGATAATTCTATTACATTAACTTGAAATACATGTATAACAAAAAATTTCCAGATGTATATAGGATTAGATAGAAAAAGAAACACAACAATTTGTTTACTCGTTTTCTAAATTCTGATGAATATTTTTTTTTATTTGACAAGATATATTATATATGTATCACTTCATACATTCCGCGATAGCCCATGCATGGAGATTTGTAAAGAAAATACTCATTTGGTCGGGTTGATAAAAAAAAGTCTTGTTGTCCTTGTTTCATTGTACAGTAAATGAACGTAAAAGATAAGATACCACTTTGTCCCTTTAACTTTTATTGTGTTAAATCGCTTTCTAAATGTTATCAGTATAGTACGGTGCTATTAATTTCAAATGTTTCTCAAGGTGAAAAATTCAAATATGCTTTTGAATAATGGACGTATTTTTCATTCAGGTCGTCGGGAAAATAAGCTGAAGGGAAAAAAAAATCCTTATCCGATAACCATTCAGGAATTTAGGAGGGTTTAGTGTCCGTGGTTATACTTTAACGAGTGTGCGGTTTTAACATCTGTAAAATGAACAGTTTGGATTTTGATAATATCCTCATTTAATGATGGAAAGGTAAGTGACTTCTAAGATGTTGAACATAAATTTGTCTTTTCCATGCCATCCTAAGAAGAACACATTTCTTTATCCTCATAAATTCCGAAATAAATTTAAGGAGAAAAAAAAATCCCAGAGACTAAAAAACGTGTAGAGTCTGGCCATTTTAGTCAGTCGCTCGGGAGAAGAAAAGCAGTATGTGTTTTTCTTACTGTATATACATTTTTGTGAGCGGCGATAAAAGTCACATGTTATTAATTGCCTTTAAAAATTGAATAAAAATATCTTTCTGGTATCTTTTCATGTATAAGAATTTCAAGACGTTTTGCTTGATATGAGTACAAAAATAGGTAGTTTAATAAAGGGACGCAATTAGTTCCCCTGGGAATGCCGAAATATTTTTGGACGACCTTTTCTCCAAAAACCACATACATGTAGATACTGTCATCCAGAAACTCAAACGTGTTTTTATTATTAACTTCAGAGTACTTCTGCTACTTGTTCTTTATATATATATATATATATATATATATATATATATATATATATATATATATATATATATATATATATATATATATATATATATATATATATATACTACTATATTAAAATAATAGACTCGAATTTTTTACCTTTAATACCGATAAATCGGAAGAGTACTGTCGTTTGTTTTATATATTTTAAACATCATTGGTACTTGAAGATTACCAATTTGTTTTTCTTTTTTCTCAATTAAGCTTCGCTAATTAATAATCAACGAAAATTCCTCAAAAAATTCCGGAAATCATCTGGATTTTTTGGATTTTACAATCTTGCGCGTGCGTATTACATTCACGCTAAATCACGGTGTTCAAATCAGAGAAGACAAAAGTAATTTGAACTAAGTAGCTATATATTTGTTATTTTATAATTTTCTCTAATAAGAAATCATAAATATATATGAACAAAATATATAGCAAATTTCCAATGAAAATTTACACGTATTAGTATTAATGTTTCTTAGTTTATCCATGCAAATGTGATATTGTGGCCACTTGGGTAAGGAGACGCATTTATTATAAGTTATTTACGTCTCTGGTCATCTCAACGGAGGCAAAAAGCTCATGATCGTAGGAGTAATATTAATGTAACCATGCACCCGATTTTATTTTATCCTTCCTTTCTTTTATGCTTTTTTGAGGGGAAAGGGGGGTGTTACAACTCCAGCTAGAATCACATCTTAATGAAGTATGCATTCTTTTTCCGCCAGAAATTACAATAACATTATTTTCATTTCTCAACTTTGAAGTAAATCGAAATAATTAAATAACGTCAATATAACCGATATTTTCAATTTGAAATGTGTCTAAATGATTGCAACTTGAATTTGTTTGCCATGTTTACTATTACCTTCACTGCTGAGATTTATAACTTCACCTCCAAAAATTTCTTTAACTTTGAAAAAAAGTGGGTGAAATATGTATATAGAAGAGACAGCCTGTTCTTCTAAATATTTAAAGGTTGTCGTGGTAACTACGCTTGATAGGTAGTCTGAAGTCAGCCCTTGCGGCCCGTACAGTTCATTCTATCAATGCTGCTAAAATATCCATTGTTCGTAAAATTTAATCCATGCATAGTAATTCTCAAAACTATGAGGTGGGACAAAATAAGATCGTAAAAATATTTATTCAATGATGAAATGAATTATATTTAATCGTAGCAAACAAACTTATGTTTATTAAATCGCCACAAGAAAAAATACACCTGATATTATTAATTTTTATTATGATCTCTTGAACAACCAGTATGTTGTTTTTTTTTTTGTTTTTTTTTTTTGGGGGGGGGGAGGTTATTTGCAAGATAATCTGTTCTGCTTCACATCTGCTAAATTGTGTAGAAATACCAGTATAGCACATTTTTCCATTTTCGTTTCTGCTTTTACTGATTATATACATGTCTATTACCTCTGTATATATAAAGTATATGTAGTAGCAGTGCTTAATAACTCTTTTATTGTTGAGGTCATATTTTGAACAAGTTGAGACCTGCAGTGTTAAAATTGTTACAAATTTTTTTACACCTTTAGTTTAATAACTAATTGTGTAAAAGTACCAGCTAAACACATTTCTTCATTTTCATTACTTTGCTTGATATGTATCAGCAGTACTCAACTCTTTGCTGTTGTCATATTTTCAATAAATATCCATAATTTCTTTTATTAAATCTGTTTGGAAAGGTGAAATTTATGTAAGCTCCGGAGTGATTCGAACTCATGACTTGATTTATAGCTAAATGGGAGTCAAACCCATTCTGCGCTACGCCGTTACGCAACAATTTTGCAAAAAAAAAAACAAAAAACAAAAAAAAAAAAAAAACAAAAATAAAAAAAAAAAAAAAAAAAAAAAAAAAAAAAACAAAAAAACAAAAAAACAAAAAAAAAAAAAAATTATATCCACATTCATTGTTTATTTCAAAAGTACCTTACAATATATGAATGTGTCGATGTATCTATTTTGTAAATGTCCGATATATGCACATGGATGAATTCATAACAATGTCAACCCGTGCACGCACGGGTCAAAGTCTAGTATATATATATATATATATATATATATATATATATATATATATATATATATATATATATATATATATATATATATATATATATATATATATATATATATATATATATATGTATATTATATATAAAGAATGCAGCTGTTTATGATGTTAAAAAAAACTTGACTTTTATATAATCTTGGAAATTTTTGTATAAATTGTTGAAAAGTCATAAGCTCTAATGTTTTTGATGTTGGGTAAAAGTTTTGATTTTAAGTTTTCTGAAAGTTCTTTGGAGTTTTTAACTATCCACATCTATTTTACACTCTTTCTCAAATATATTGTTGTACAGTACTCCTGAAGTTTCTCCTTCACTGTTTTCACATTTTTTCGTGAGGAGTAAAAAAAAAAAGCTTTCTATAACATTTACTGGGACCCGCTATGTATCTTTGAAAGGGTTTTCACGAAGTTTTAGAATCCTTTTAAGTATGGTTATTCAACTTCAGTTTACCCATGCATATTGACGTTTGGGGCCTTTCATTGCGTTTATGATAAAACCAGTCATATTGTTGTAGTTGAATAAGAATGTCTTTCAGTTTGTCTTTGTGCATCAAGCGGTTAAAAACAAGTTAAAATGGGGGCATTTTTGCTTTCAAACATTTGTTGGTTTGGGTTTTTTCAATAAATATAAAAATAATATATATTATTATTCTAAGTAACAATTATTCAACTTCATTTGCGTGCTAAAATATTTGCAAAATTTTCGAAAGTTTTTAAGGAATACTTCTCACCACCAACATATAATCAGTTGTTATTCATGGAATATTGAGATAACGAACAGTATTTTAGCTCAAAAATCAGTCAAAACAATGCAAATCGGGAGCGGAGCAAACGCGGATCTCTAAAACAACAAAGATGTCATAAAGGAGTAAGCACCCCATGTCAACTGCTCATATTAGCCGTGTACTCATTGTCATTATTAGGCAAACAGAAAAATTCGTAGACAATTCGTTATATGTAAATAATAGTCTAACAACTGGTATGGAAAACGTCAATCATGAATTATGTTATCTCAACCGAACAAATTAATAGTCGCAAATTTACTTTCGATCGTCGAATATAGTATTAAAGAAGTGACGGATAATAATTGTTTGACAGTATAAATTTGGTATGATGACAAGATAATTCACCAAATTTTTGCAATTTTAAGTAATTCTTACTGAAAATATTTGCTCCAATTTCAAACGTTTGTTAAGGTCCAAGGAGTTACTAACAGCAGAAGACAGGACACTGTTATCCACATTCATTGGCAAAAGTAGCAGTTTTGAATTGTTATATAAAATCAGTCGTGATGGTTGTTCGGCGTCAAAGTTTCACCAGTCCTGTGACTACAAAGGTCCTACAGTTACAGTCCTTTACAATACTGAAAATAGCGTGTACGGAGGATTCCTAGCAGGAGACTGGAAAGAAGGAAATTCTTCAACAAGTATTGCCGATAAAAGAGCCTTCCTATTCACACTACACTTTAATGGTGTTTCAAAACCAAGAAAGTATTCCGTCATAAAACCTTATCATGCTGCATTTGCATTTAGGGAGTTTGGACCAACCTTTGGTGCAGGGGATCTTCGGGATATAGCTGAAACTAAAGGTTTTGCAAATGAAAGAAAGAAAATGTCCTCGTTTAGGAAACGAGAAATGCAGAACTACCGCTATGACGATACAACTGTAGATCTGCTTACATTTTATGGAACTGTTGAACCAATAGTAGATAGATATGCAGGAACACACTTTTATGAGCTAAATGGAAAAGCTGATTTCAGACATGCCTATGATGGAGGAAATGAAAGCATGAACGCAATAAACAACGGCCATATGTGCGTCTTTGATCTGGAGGTGTACAAAGTTAAAGGTTTGATTTAATTAAATTCTTTATTGAAAAAAAAAAAAGCTCAATAGTGCCAGCTTTTTTTAACACTATATATAAATATATATATTCTGAAAAAAAAAGTTTTAATATATGTAGCCATCTCTTGCATGATTTAATGTTTTTCCTGATATTTTTTTAATTTATACTGGATTTTCTGCAATAAAGAAAAAAAAATGACAGAAGAATATGAGAAGTATAAGCGAATTCAAGACACTCATTATATACCTTGAACATATGCTTGAAGTAAGAACTAATTTCTATTTTTTTTAAGACGTTACGGTCGCTAAAAGTTCACTTTGTCAAAATCCATCTGATAAAACATGGAGAGAGTCTCCTTGCTGGGACGAACAGGTAAAACTTTGTCAGCATTAAATTATTAAATATGTAATGGTTACAGTTTTGTGTTATTATTATTATTATTAATAGTTTGGAAATTAACAGTCATAGTGACTTTTCACCAGCCTACCTCAAGCAATCCCGGAACTCCATTTAGGCTCTCCTACAGTCCAGACGAGTGTTCTGAGACTTCAATCAAAAATGCCTCAAACAAACTTTTATCAAAATTATCGAAAATAACAACTTCCTGTTTATATGAGTAAAATGAATAAGTTTAACCCCATAGGTATTGATTTTGCATTCAAATTTTTACAATATAATGCAATTTAAAGCATCAAAAAGTTGGATTACTAAGGACGGTTGCATAAGGTAGATTATTGAAATCATAGAAAGTTGACAATTTCGTAATATAGGCCCCTTTTTGAAAATTATTATTCGCATCATTTGCAGCTACAATAGGTCCAAAAATAAAACCAATCAAGGAATCCATTTTTTGTATTATTTGTCCTTCAGAGAAATGATCTCTAATTAAAACTTTTTGCATTGAGTCTTGTAAAACCCCAAACTAATAGGTAGGGGTTATAGCCTTTCAGAAAATAAACAAAAGTGTATTTTAATAACGATGGCAACATTGTTTGAAGAATACTAATATGGAGAAACATATACTGCGTGCAGTGTACCAAAGTTTATTGTTATTAAAATCGAATCACTTCCTAATTTTTTTTTTAAATTATTATTAATTGAACACTGAAAAAGGTAAAAGGAGAAAGCAATTTTAAAAATTCAAAGAGAAATTAAAATAATATGTAAAAGAACTGGTCTGACTAACTAAATATTCCTCAGATTATTTATGAAATACCCTCTAATCTTCACATAGACTTTTCGAAAATAGAAGGAACTGTTTTCAATTATGAATCTTTGACGACTCGGGCTTCTTATAGTGAGAGTGTCAGGGTTCTTCATCATTTTAAATTTTACTGTGTCGAAAACTTTACACGATGCACAAATATTTGCGGTATTCGCAGCGATGAAATTCGCAAAACCTTTTGGGTGTTGAACTACGTTCAATCTCCCTTGGTCATTTCGCGCTTTTCATGCGCAGTACTTTGTATTGGTAATACAGCGGCTGTCAGTGGGGCTTTTGTGTCGGCTAATATACTCCTAATTCAATAGAAACTTTTATAAACATCCGTCATAAAATAATCCATGTAACTTTTCCGAACTAATCTAAATTTGATAACTGATATGTAAGTAAATGTTAATATGTTATTTTATTTATCCTACTTTGAATATTAGACTTTGATCACATTAATATTGATATATACAAAATTAAGAAAAAAGGTAGAGAATTTCTTAAAGGACTTCATTTGTAGCGCAGGGTCACCTTACACACTGAGAAGGAAACGAACGACGACTCTGCACAAAAGTTGTGGCGGGAAATACATGTATCTGACTATGGCGCATTGTCTGAGGCGTAGTAAAAACAAGCTCACAAAGCACTGTTATTCATATTTTTGTAGACAGCAATATTGGAATATATTTAACAATATTTATTTAAGTAATGAATTCAAAAGCTACCCATTTTATACGGTATAAACTGGGCTGGGGCAGTTTACGCTTTATAAACCGCCAAGCTGTTTTTAAAAGAGCGTAAACTGTTCCAACCCAGTTTATACCGTAAAAATTGGGTAGCTATTAAATTCATTCCTTATACGGTAATTTAATTTTCATTAATTTGGTGTAGAGAAAAAAAGGTGATTGTCCCTAAAAATGACTTCATTTTGTACAAAAATTGAATGTGACGTCAGGCGGATCGATACGTTCTTGACGCAAGTCATTGTGACGTAGGCAACCCATTTTATACGATATAAAATAAAGTTTTTATCCAATCAAATACAGCGTTACAACCAAAATTAAATTATTTGGTGATACGAATTGAAAAATGAAAGAATATAGCACGGAATTGGATATGAACTAGATGAATTCTGCGCAAGCGTAGGTAATTTACTTTTTACCACTGTTGACGGAACAATTCAGATAATATATCTGATAGTTATACTCATATGTTACCTACAGTCTTATGGCGGAAAGGAATACTTTATTCAAAATCCTGCGGTTGTTATAGATACAGAAGTAAATATATGTCACCTACTTTATTTTGTTTGCTTTTTTTTTAATTTTCATTTTTATCAGTACATGAAAGTGCCATTTGCATTAATTGATCTTATCCCTCTCCATTTTAGCAAATCATTCCATTTTAGCAACTTTATTTTTTGATACCTGCACCTGTTGTATATAAATAATGTACTTCGGGTTCTATGCTTCAATTTCCATTATGGAAAAAAAAAAAATAAGCGAACGTGCATATTTTAAACTGTTTCATTCGATTGATGTAGTTTTAGAAATTAGTAAAAGTTTCCCATTTTCAGAAAAATTTCACACTTTTGTTCGCATCTGTTCCAGAGAAAAAAAAAATGGAAGGGTGATTGTCGTACGACAGTATATATAATGATTGCTGATAAATCACATTCGCACTAACCGCAATAGTTTCGCTTCAGTGGTAAACATGAGATTTCACGAATGCATATTAGTTGCGGAAAGCTGATTGTTTTGACGGAATCGGGGTACAAAAGAAAAAGAGCAGGGGCCAAATAGTCTAATTTATTGATAAAAACTGTTTGAACAAGGTATGTGGTAAATAGGTAGAAAAACTACGAACAATCAAGTGTTTTGCCTAGTTATACTCCCGAAAGTTCATGCGATCGTTCTCAAAAGATATTAAAGTTAAATATGAGTTAAATTAAATTAGAATTATTTCTTATTTACAACTTCGGCACAAAGCAAAGGATAAGTGGAAAGGATATTTTTATCATTTAGTAAAAACTGAAAACATATTGGAATGCACGACTTTTATTTCTTATTTGAAGAATTCAATATTCATTAAAATTAAATTGATAGCATGCTTGTATAAATGATACCTGTTGTATATTATAAATTTTATTACCTAGGTCCTTTGCCATAATGCTCTCAAAGTGTTTTTGATAAGACTAATTTACCATTAAATAATAAATCGCCTCGTTTTCTCTTAAACATCCGATTTGATGCCGTATGACTTTCTATAAATTTCTTTGAAGACTAAAGTTCAGGGACTGACGAAAACAATTCGCTCTTTTTTAATAAATTTTCACAAATTATTTTCTTCCACCGAAATCAAGTTTTAATTCAATTCAATAATTACGTTTTATAATTAAAAAAAAAAAAAAAATTGAGTGCTTGTTGTCATTTTCATTAAAAATTAGAAGTAACTTGGATCCGCTACTGCACTCTCTTTCTCTCTCTCTCTTAATTTTTTTTTTAGATTTTATTTTTATTTATCTATTTATTTATTTTTGCTATTTCACCGCTGTTGATTAAAAACGAAAGTAAACATTTTTTTTTTACGATGATTACTATTCGAATGAAACCTTATTATGAATATAGTTTGCGAGCACATCTTTTGTAATGAGAGGGATAGGTATGAACTCTGCTGCAGGCATTTCGTTATTTGAAAAAAAAAAATGAAAAACATAAGGTTACAAGCAGGTGTGATTTGGTTGGGTTGGGATGGGGACACAATGGGGGATCAATGTTTTACATTTAAATGAATTTGGAACAAATCTGTAAAAGAAAAAAAAAATCCCTAAAGAACCACCAGTACTGGACCAGAAAATTTGAAATGTGGGTGAATGTTTCCAGACATATAATGTAGATTCTAAATTCTTCAAATCATGGCCCCTTGCGTTAGAGAAAGGTCACAAAAGGGAATCAAAGTTTTACATTTGACTTTATATGAAAAAAATCTTCAAAATCTTCCTATTAAGATATAACTGGACTAAAGTAAATGAAACTTATGTTCAAGCATTCTGACATAATGTAGATTGTAAAGTATACAATTCAAGGCCCCTAGGGGTAGGGTGGGGCCACAACAGTGTACTAAAATTTTACATGAGACTATTTTAGAAAAAAAGAAATTAAAATCTTCCAAAGAACCACAATAGAAATCATTAGTATGCAAACATTACTAAGTTATGTGGATTCATTTTTTTTTTAACAAACTATAGATCCTGGGTAAGAATTGGCTACAACTGGGATTAATTTTTATTTACGGGCGCAGCTTATGCAGAGGTTTGGGAAAGCTATTATGACGTCACGTTAAAATAATACAAATGAATCTTGATGAATAAATACTATATGTTCTTTTTGAAACACACTCACATACTTTCGTTTCTCAAAAATATTATAAAGAAAAATGAATGTACAACTTATCTTGCCAAAATAGCACTTGTCGTATGTAAAATGAAAGGAAGCTTGATCTCGCTGTACTTACTGAGAAGACGTCATTTTTTAGCTTGACACGCAGTTTCTCTGTACTTGAGGGGTCGATCAAGCTATTATCGTAGTTTTTAAAAATTAAAATAAATATGAAACATTTAATTGTCAAACTAAATTGGTAATATATAGACTTTATATATAGCTGTAAGGAGCTTATTTGTAAAGTAACGTGCTAGAATGAGGGGTCCAGTCCCTCGAAAATATCAAAAGTTCAACGATATCCGCTTCACTATAAATTCTGAATTTTTAAACACTTGTAGCTATTATTCCTACTATTCTGAAAAGTGCTTGGAGCTGGTTGTGCATTGTTTATATATTCCGTAATGTACAGCAACATTATTCCAATGCGTTTTACATCTATGGTTGGAGTTTATAGAAAGACAGTTAATCTTTCACAATTCCCGAGCATGAGGAAGTTGCTCCCAGCACTTTTCATGTTAAGGAATTTATCTCAAACCAAACAGAATAAATTTTATAGCGGAAAGATACCCGTATATCGTTGAACTTTTACAATCTTTGAAGTAGTACACATATATTCTAATTTTACACGTAACATGTCACGTGACAAACAGTTGATGCAATCAATGTCGCTTGGGCCGAACTCAGCAGAGACCAGATATATACAAGTGCAAAGACCACAATTCACATTCATGAATAATAATGCTGTTAAAGTAAATATTAAAATTGTATTGATTTTCTCTGAATATATTAAGGCGTATATTTCATGGGCATCCTTAACCTAGCTGCGGGGAAAAAATCTTATGTAGGATTACCGCAAGATTTTGTCAATCAAATTGATTTTAGAGCATCTCCATCTTATGTGCATTAAACTTTCTTGATCCCCTACCAGTTATGTCTGGGTATTAATATGGGGTGACATTTTTTACGGTAATATAGAGGAGAAAATCTTTTGAAAATCTGAAAAACAATAGCAGGGCTAAAGTTACTCAGATAAGTGTTGTGACCCTATGGTCTGTTGGTTATTCTAATTCTTTCGAAACTATTCCTCAAGTTAAGGTTGTAGCACTATATGCAACAGTTGATTTGTATCTAAAATTTTATTAACGCATTCAGTCAATAGACTCCGACTCCCAGTGATATCTCTTCTAACTGAATTTACAGTGTTCAACTCCCATGAGTACTTTCAGTACTTTGATTTGTATTACTAGTTTGATACACAAATGATATGATATGCATATAAAAAAAGTGAATTAATAGATATTTAAACAATTAGAAGGTTTTCAATATAAAATTATGAGCATACTATATCACATACAGTCTGATTTAAAAAGTATCGCTTAGAGGGAATTTATGTTCCTGATTTTCTTATCGTTGCCGATCTTATGGTGGTACACTTTTAAAACCATTACTACATTTAATGGTGGTCAACTTTTTGAACCATTACTGAATGTATCGGGGAAAGTTTTACTCTGTGGGGACCGCCACAGTAAAACAACTCATGGAAAACCCTAAGTATATTACTATGAAGGCTAAAAAGGAGAAATCAATATAAAAACAAATGATAGGCAAATTGTATACATATAGAATGAAAGAAAACTGGTTTAGATTTTCTGCATGTTATTTTAATAACTTTTATACTTTTCCGTAGACTTTTCGAAAATTAAAGGACTCGGTTTCCAATTATAAGCCGCTGGATGACTCGGGTTTATCTGAAGTGAACATCTTATTAGTGGGACAGATTGGAGCAGGAAAATCCAGTTTTTTCAACACTGTAAACTCAATATTCCGTGGTGAAGTAACAGCTCGAGCATGCGCCGGGAACTCACAACATAGTCTTACTACAGTTGTAAGTAGTGTTTCGTTCTTGAGAGTTTTTCATGGTTGTTGTCATAAACTAGTGCTTGTGTTTGAAACTGATTTTTATTGTGAAACTAAATTTAGAGAAACAGATTAAATCATTCGATAAACACCTTTCCAAACTTCATTCTTTTACATATGAAGCGTTGAAAAACATTTTTGGACAACGTTCCTCTATTTTTTTTAAAGCTAAAATAGTCTTGAAAAGATTGTATAGCTTAAGATTTCATTCATCATTTACATGAGAATAGGCAGAAATATTGACTTGCATATAAAAACTGACATTTGAAATTCACTATATAATCTTAACGAAATTCTATACATTAATTTCATGATTAGTTTCGAAAATATCGAATTCGAAACCCGGAAACTGGTGGGTATTTAAACTTCCGCCTTTGTGATACACGTGGAATTGAGGAAGATATGTGCATCAAACACCAGGATATGGCGTCCTTATTAGATGGACATCTCCCCGATCAACACAAGGTATACATTACATACAGATACATTAAATGCAGATTATACATGTACAGGTATTCCATATATTCTAGTTTAGTTAAATTGAGGAACCTCATGTGATATTATGCAATAGAAAACAAGAATATGGATGTTATGCAAACGCAAATCTGTTTTGATAAGAATTTCAAAATACATCTCGTAAGCTTCATTAATTCATTATAGAAAATTTGTTGAGTTTAGTTCCTGTTACTGAGAACCATTGTTAAGATATGGATTCAAAAAAAAAAAGTTTCGCTTCAAGTGCTTTTGAAAAAAAAAAAAAACTACTAATAATAAAGTAAAATGCATCTTTGTTTACACTTTAACTTTAGTTCAATCCGGCGGCACATGCTACAGAAAAGGATCCTGGTTTTAAGATCAAACCTACCTTTAAAGATAAAATACATTGTGTAGCCTTTGTTATGGATTCAAGTTCAATTGATGTTCTTCAAGGATCAACTTCGCAAAAACTTGCAGAATTTCATTCTCTTATGATTGAAAGGGGTAAGAATTTGACTGTGAATAGCAAGTTTAGATTGACGCTTAACAAAACTTCTTGGTATAAATCTTAAAATTTGGGCAAGGAAAAAAATGCACTTTTAATATATATATAATTTTTTTAACATTCATATTAGAAAAATATATTTTTTTTTCATTCATTTGGACACGAACAGATTGCAAATAAACAGAAATTGCACTAAATTATTTTTACGGCATCTCTGTTTATCAAAAGATAGGTGAAATGATAACACTTCCTAGTATTCTTACCTTCCTTCAATTTAACTATACATATCTTTATATGAAATAAGATAAGTATAATAGTTTCATTAAATCTTAGTTTCATCTAGCATGTTTAGTGAGAAGTAAAATTCTTTGAAAGATGGATATAGAAAATTGAAGATACATGTAGCTAAGAGTGTACGTTTATTTGGCATTCCATCGATACATGTATATGTTTATAAGCATGTGCTGTAAAATACAGTGTGTGTCAGTTAACATGTGAATTCAGTAAAACAATGCATCAGTTTTTTTTTTTAAAAAATCCAAAAAATAAAACTGTATGTAGCATTCACCACATGAACAAGGTTCCTTAAGTTTATGATTTTGCTTATCATGTACGATAAATATTAAAATGTGACAAAATTTCAAATTTTATGATAGAAATACGCTAATCGGGGTTCTTATTATGTGTTAGACACAGATAGCTGATACTAGCTGATACATTGCTCTCGAACAAAAATAATCCTCAGTAACAAAATGGATTAACTATTAAATGTAGATGTTTCATTATAGGTATTCCGCAAACAGTTTACTTGACGAAGCTAGATAAAATCTGTCCTCTTGTGGATGATGATGTTCGCAGAATATTCAACAGTGAAGCTTGCAAGCAAGCTGTTAATAAAGCTGCAGAGGTCATAGGACTTCCTCGCTCTCATGTATTCCCCGTTAAGAATTATGAGAAAGAAACCCAACTGCAAATCCCAGTCGATATTCTGGCGCTCTCCGCTCTCAGGCAGACGCTTGTGTATGCAGACGACTATCTGGAGGATCAGTTTGAACTTTCACAAACTGAAGAACAACTTCAGCTTCTTAAATTGGAGGATCCCAATTATCACATTTTCTTTTATTCTAAGGTTGTAAATTGACAGTATGTCAGACTCTTTATTTTCAGTGTTTTATTGAAATGTTGATGAACGTGTCTGAAAGGCGGAAAAGGTGCACTCATGGAATTCCAGTGAAACCAAAATTTTATAACTTTTATTCCGATGGAACCATGTATAACATTAAGAAGGAATATACAAATGTATAGTTAAGACCCTTGAAATTTACAAGTACTTATTGACTCTCATTTCTGTTACAAGTTTTATCGATTGTGCGTAGTGGAAAGTCTAAACATAAATGCATAATTGTACATATTTTCATATAAATTCTATTTCATCCGAAACAAAAAAAAAGAATCAATAGTTTTCAATTTCTTAAGATTAATTGATACTTTGATTGACTTATACTTTTTCAAATTTCAATTTTGAATAATGTTTAATCTTAAAATTTTCTATCTCATTTTTTTTTCAGTAAAAAACAAAGGATATCCCAATTATCCCGATGTTTCGCATCCTGCATTAATAGAATAAAATGTCTCTCATGTTAAATTTTCCTGTAATTATAGACCATGATGAAACGTCACACACAACTCATACTAACGTCAAATACATGTAACGATGTGTCTTGCAATACCCACCTTAATTTAGAAATGTTTTCTGTCACCTCTGACATACTGTTGTGGAAATCACATTTTTTTTTTTTCATAGAAAAAGCAAATCAGTGAGTATCGTTATCTGAATGTGCATATATCCTGATTAAGTTTGCAAATTCAATGGATATTTAAAATTAGGACAAAATTTTTTTTATAATTTTTTTTTCGCCACATGAATTAAGTGGTAATTGAATATGTTAACGTTGTACTTTTTTTCAAAAATTCTATAAAAATAGTAAATACGTGCTTATGATAATGAAATATGTATAACTGATTGTTCAATTACTAGTTGAATATTTTTGAATGAAGATGTATTTCAAAATGTGATCTGTTAAATGAATATAAAGCAAAAGGGATTGTACCATAAAAAAAATTCTTAAGTTACTAGTAAAATTCATTCATATGATTCTATTCATTGAAAAATAATATATGACCATCATAGACTACCAATACAGAGCTCACTGTGGTTGTAACCTGTCGACAGGGGATGCTTACTCCCCTAGACACTTGATCCTACATGTAACACTGGTGTTTCCATGGTCCATGTCCACGATTCGTATTGCTTACAAGATTCATGATATGGATTTCTGGATGTCTTAAGTTTATCTTTCTAATATCTTTATATTTTTTTCATATGTATGCACTTGCAAAAAAAAAAAAAAAAACAAAAAAAAACAAAAAAAAAACAATCTCTATTTTTTAAGCATTTAATAAAGTTAAAAACCTAATAACCTCTATTTTCTTCTAAATACAAACAATTTGATTTGTCAGATTGTATTATTTATTCAAACAAATTTTAAAAAAAGATCAGAAATCATCCGTTGTATAGATCGGTATATGGATTTAGGTCTTATAATCCGGCAGTTGTAAGAGCCGTCACATTTACAATGGACTATAGGCCAATGTTGTAGCAAGCTGATTAAGATGGAACAGACCTCTTCCATATTGCATCCCATATGCTGAATCCATTTCCCTTGCAGATATTTGTAACAATCGGACAATCATATGACCCATCGCAATTACACTGGCATTTAAAATGATGACACCCGCTTTCATATTGGAACGGTCTATTCCCTTCATAAGAGACTCCTAACTTCCGGCAACTTTTACAGGAGTGGACAGTACATATCGTACTGACAATGAAAAGAAGAACCAGAAGTCTTATCATCTACAAATAAAAAGAAGACCTTTTGAATAAATATAGCTGAAATTATTTCTTATTTAGAAAAAAAGAAACGTGTTTTGTGTGAATACTTTTGTGTGTCGTATACTGAAAGTTTGACAGGGTCATTTTCATTTAAAATCAACACATTTAATTGCAATTGTACAAGATACAATCCAGTAGATTGATGACAACAAAAGATTTCTTATATCGATGAACAGGAATAAACACGGTTTTACTTTGCCTTCAGGTTTTCTCAGCCCTACGTTGTTTCACTGTCCGGTTTTTGCCTTTATTGTTATGTTTTGCAAGTCGTTTAGATCAGAATACATTGTCTTAAATCTCAGATTTGACGGACATTCATTTTTATGATTGTCTTTGGAATATTTCTGTGTGTCAGGCGATGTAGATAAATATTCCTCAAAAGGGCACCTTCTTCTATCAAAATATCAAATTTTCAAGAGGGTAAAAAAGATGGCAGAAACGTCAAATATATTTCAGAATGTCATTGTTCTGAAGGTACTTCGGGGTTTCTGTAAACAGATACAGCATTTTTAATAAGACATCAGTTTTATAAAAGAATTTTTTTTTCACTAACCAAAAACATGCTCAGTTTAGGTCTGGTCAAATAAAGAGGTTCCCACCACACCACAATAGTTCCTTAATAGATGGATGAAATTTCAGTATCCTATTTTTTTTCTCTCTCTCCAAATAACAATTTCAGTTTTGCAATTAAGCTCAGCATTGACGCATGCACGACTGTTTATCTTTTTTTGTAAAACCAAAAGAGGCAATTCGTATATGCAACTTGATAGCCAGTCATCAGAGGCATTTTTGTGGTGCACTTGTATTAATAGTTATCAATACTAATTGATAAGTAGAAGAGAAGTATGAGTTCAGGGTTGCTATGGTTCTGATAATAATAACTTTCGATATTAATAGATATTTGTTTTTACTTACTTAGAGTTTATCTGTTATATAGCTTAATAATATATGCGGTACCCTAGACATACACCAATCCGCAACTATCATGCTAGATGGGATCATAATTTATGAATATCAACCAAGTAGCTATATGCGTTGTAATTGCTCTTTGCTCTTTCAAATTACTCTATTTTTATTTTTGTCATGTGTGCAAAAACATGTACAATGTAGCAATAAAGATTAAATAGGATCAAGTTAGTATGTTAGTCTCTCTCAAGATGATACAATGTATAATATATATGAATTTTACGTCTTTTTCTTATTCCGGATTTTATGCTATGTTCCAATCTTTTCCTCGCACAATCTTAATTTCAATTTTATTTTTATTTTAATCGTTTAATGAAATATTTCATAATCAATCAAGTTCAATCTATGTGTAACAGGATTCAAAAATATATTTCAATTGCTCTGATGTTTTAATCATAATTTTATAATCACTGATTTCAAAATCTTATGAGCCTTAAAATGTTCCTTACAAAGGTAAATTAAAGGGTGAAAGAACTGTCGGCGAACTCTCAGCCGAAATTGAGCAAACGAAGCGAGCACAGAGACAAGCATGCGCAAGTGTACATTGTATTTAATTGTTTCGCAATGTTAGTGTGACACAAAATAGTTATCTATGGCCTTTCTTTATCACTTGTTACACAGAAATGCATAAGCAAGCAGTGCGATAAAGGCCTTTACTGCTGAATGCTTTAGAACAAAAGTCTGTAGATTTCTTTTTCGTTAGATACACGTCTGACTCAAAATATATTTTACATGTACATGTTTTATTCTGCAAATAATATTTATATCAACAATCTCTGCTTCAATCTTACATAACCAGTGATCGTCTACGGACGATTTATCATGACCTGTTGACAAATTGCACCAGCAGTTTTAGAAACGGGACTAAATCACTTGATTTTTTTCTTCTTTTTTCATACTTGTTGATATAAATTTGAACATTTACAAAGAATCATAAGTCATAAATCTCCTTAATAAGAATCAAAATATATTATTTATAAAAATATTGCTTAATCTGACCTTTTCCAGCAAGAAACGAAGTTGTTATAATGTATAGTTGTATGAAATCTAAAAAAAAAAAACGGAAAAAAAAGTCTGAATTAAAAAAAATACTCAACCCGCATTGCTTTGCACACGATTGTAGGCACTGCGCCTACTATCTTTAAAAATTTTAATTCAAAAGACCTTTCTACTATATTGTGTACAAAAATATGTCATAAATAGTACAAACCTTTAGTTTTAGAGTGCCAAACTAGATCTCTCTTTGAACAACGTGACACAAATAATTTTGGAAAACCTATTTCGACCTTTATTCAAACAGGATATTTAACAAATCGTCAAACGTTACAATTCCAGATAATCAGAATAAATTGATACTTTGATAAATGTCAACGAACAGTGGGTATCTATTAACTTATTACACCCTTGTTGACAAATTCAGTTGACCTTTAATCCAAATTGGTTGAGATCGAAAGTAAAACTTAGTTTTCTTGATCAATTTAAACAAAAATGGAATTCGGATGTTCAAAATTTATCAAAGACTCTAAATTACAGAATATACAAAGACGAACTAAAATTTGAAAAATACTTGGATATTCTATCCCGAAAAGATGCCATTAATTTCTGCAAATTTCGTACTTGTAATCATTATTTACCGATTGAAAGTGGACGCTGGCTAAATGAACCAAGAGAAACGAGACATGGTAAAAACTGTAATTTAAATGAAATAGGCGATGAATTCCATTACATATTAAACTGTACGTCAGTGATACACGAAAGAAATAAATGCTTATCGCAAAAACAATTACGGTTTAAAAATACAATTACATTCAGAGAAATAATGAATTCAGAAAAACAATCCTTTTTAAGGAAACTGTGTCCATTTATTAGAAAAATTACTAAAACGTGCTCCCCGAATTAGTAAAGATCTATAATTGTACTATTTGTCTATCCTCATACTCACGCATGCTAAAATTTGTTTTTATTTGTCATCATTGTTTACATTTATATCTCTGTATACAATTGTAAAATTGTGAAGAGATTAATAAATTCAGTTCAGTTCAGTTGACATTGCCCCCTCATTATATTTCATTATTGTTATTACAGCTGTTATGAATTGTTTATGAGGCATGCATCCCGCCTATGTGTTTTTGTACTGAAAAATATGTAATAACTCAATTCATATCTTAAGAAACATTTTTTGAAACTCGGATATAGCTTAGCAAACATGTTTTGAACATTTGAAGCAAGCATGTAAATAATTGTATTTCCGAGCTTTTCTAGAGAAAATCATGCCAATTTCTTCAACTAAATTATTAATATTTTGCCTAAATAACAATCAAGGCACAGAAATTCC